TTCTTTGCAGGCGATTTAAGGGTCTGCGTGACTCTAGGACGAGGTCCAACTAGGCCGGAGTTCGTGCTGGATGTGGATGTGCGGACCAGGTATTCACATTAAGGCGCATTCTCGAATTTCGATATGGCTACCAGCAATCAGCGGCCGTCTGCTTTGTTGACTTTTACAGCCACGTTCGATTCGGACCATCGTGAGTCCTTGTGGCGGATAACTGCACAAGATGCTGCGTTACCAAAAATCATCACCATGAGCAAGACCTGCTTGAGCCCCACCAGTGCACAATTTCTGGTTCATTACAATTTTTCCCAACCGTTCAGTATTCCGTCTGGCGTTCGATAGGGTCGTATCCTGTCGCCGCTTCTTTTCAACTACGCTATTGACTGGATTCTGGGGAGGGCCCTACACGAAGGTGACGGTGTTGAGTTTGCATCCGGACACCGGCTGAATGATCACGATTATGCCGATGATATCGCCTTACTAGCTTCAAGTTTTGGTTATCCGTAATCTGTGGTGTCACGGGTGAACGAGGTCGCTCAAACGGTCGGTTTGTTCATAAACGCTGGGGAGACCAAATTGTTTTCAAGCTGAATTCCTGACCAGGAAAAGGCATCACTCGGGCTTTATGCCTGTCAACTTGAAGAAGTAGCAGTTTTAAGTATCTCGGGGTGAGGTGGCTACCGAATTGACAGAGTAAGGACTATATTGTCTCCTGAATTGATGCTGCCTATTGGGTTTTCTCAAGCCATAGAAAATACCTATGGATCCGATGCGACATTTCCATCGCCACTAAGATTCGCGCGTACCGGGCATCTGTCCGGTCTGTCTATCTCTATGGCAGTGAATTCTGGGCTGTGCGCGTGGAGGACGAGCAAAAACTGGAGGTATTTGACCACCGCTGTTTGAGAACCGTTCCTTGAGTGAAGTACACCGACTTTTCCTCAAATGAGACAGTCTGCACTCGTTGCGATAACAGGGTAGGGATAACCCAGGCCATCCAAGAAAGATGACTGACGTGTTTTGGGCATGCTCTTCGTCGTCCACCTCAGGAGTTCAACGTTACCGCTCTCGATTCGGTACTGCTACTCCATTGGATGCTTAGAAGGGTCGGTCAACCAAAAAGCTGTCTCGACACAGTTCCTCAAGACATGGTAGTGGTTCTTTGACCTTCGGTATCCAACCTTCTTTGCTGGTGAAGAGAATGGCCTGAGCTGTCTAGCTTTGCCACCGCGGATTGTCACGTGTGGAGAGGCATAGTTTGGACATCATCGAGGCTGGCTTGATCAGTCATAATCGCAGCTCCACCAAGTAAAGGTAGGTAGATCTTTGGTGCCCCTTCCACTATTGCTTCTAACGATTGTCCCCAAGTAGAGTTTCGCTATTCATAATCTCTCTTCTCACATTTAGGCTCTGTTCAAATCCTCACGACCATCCGGTCGTCCGAAAACCTATCGACACGCTGTAGAGGACCCCGAGAACTCGACGAACCATCTGCCAGTCTGGTCCCGTTGAGCATCCAATCGGCCCTAAAGTAGGATCTTGACTGCTCAGCTGCTGAAATGGTGTTCGCTGCTACCGTCCGACTGCCTGTTGAGATGATCCCTCCTATCCTTTGCAGTGAAATAGAGGATCAGATGAACCTCCTGCACCGTGTTCAGCATTCTCCCCGGTTCCACTCAAATCCTCAGTCTACGAGCCTTATTTGGCGAAAGACTTGTCGACGTGCTCTCACTTTCACTTCTGATGTGATCGAGTTCGCCGGCCATTGAAGGCCCCCAACGATTGCCCCTTCTGGGTTGTCTCTCGAGAGTTGAAGCGTTCGGCATTCCACGCGGAACTCGTAAGGGGATTGTGAGCGTAGACCACCTTAAAGCTGCTATCCGGATATCCCTCCGGACGATCCCTAAATTCCCCTACACCCTACTTCTCCATCTCCCTCCTGTCTATATCAACCACTCGAGACGTCACGACACTGTACAGACCGATTGGTCACGCATGTTTTTAAGCGTTAACAGTTCCTTTGGCGTCACTACCCACCGCCGCCAGTCTGACTAGTGGTTACTGTGGCAGTCTGCTCCCGCGATTACCAGCACGACCGCTTGAATATACCTCCTTTCTGTCCGCCTAACGCTCGCTGACCATTCGCTCCTAGATTTGCGCATGACCTGGCAGTAATGTGGCAAGAGCTTGAGGCCAATCGTTGCTGCGTTCATCGTCGACTGGCTGCAGGCGCACAGAGTCGAGGCTCAGATTCGCAGGGGCTAAGAATTTCAAAGGCTTACACTCGCCTAAAGAGATGACTTGATGCAATGACTTTTTGAGTGCGTGCAGGTTCTCTAGCCGCAGTAAAACATGTCCGATCTAGCCGACTTCCCTTGTTTGTGATTTTCGAATCACTATGCTGTCAATCCGTCACAGCTATTGACAAATACGCCGAGGTAAGTGTCAGCAATATTCGATGAAGTTCCAAATATGGCAATTGGAATGAATATTTTCGTTTTCTACATAATTACAGTGACGATCATTTCAATTTAAATCAGCTCGGCAGCTTGGTGGAAAGCAAAATCAAACGCTTTTATATCTGCACTGGGGCATCTTTCTCGCCACAAAGTCTGACGTGAAATTACGGCCCAACCGATAGCCGGCCGTCCTTTATCGGAGGACGCCAATAGTGCAACTTCGAACTTTGGCTCTGTCAGGTACCCATCAATGCTCGAAGATTTAGTGGCATTGCCTATTGATGGTTCAAGCATATCGTCCAAAGAAGGTAAAGTCACAGCTTACACTCTCATTCAATTATTGAAACTAAATAGATCAATTTTTGCCGAACATCCTATTTCCTGAATCTGTAATTCATCGACCGAGTCACTTTTCGACCTCAGAGCATCTGGCTATTTGCGGGGATATGTGTGCGAGTAAGTACATACAGACAGGTCAGTAGGCTTTTGAGACACTCGACTGAATTGTCGAGCGAAAGTGGAGGCAACTGTCTGCACTGTTATGGGCTGCAGAGGCAGGTGGCTGGTGCTGGTCTGCTCATTACCGAGTTGAATTGCTTAGGCTGTGTTTGACCAAGATGGTATCAGAGGGAACCATAATACAAGAAAAAGACATTTGAACCCCTCAGGAGAGATCATCCTGATAGTTTGTGGCAGATTCTTCCGTCGAACATGGCGCACATGGATTAAAGGAAGATAAGCGTAGCCATATAAAGCGAAATGTTGGGTGATAAAATTAGCATGGTAGTGTAAAAACCGCATCTATCTTGATTAGATGACACAAAACCCTTTTCCGTTGTCATATAGTAAAGGCCTGGCGTATATCCTTGGCAGATAAGATTATGTATCTTGTGGAACGTTCATAAAATTCTGAAGTGTGTTCTTGCTAAGAAGGGAACATTAAGATGGGGTTTTAAAGATCTTTACCTAACAACATAAGCCCGGGGTATTTTGGCAATGTTAAGATTTTGAATTTAAACTCGCTGCTTTCCGTCCACCCGCAAAAAACCATACTCAGTGAACCATTGTTTCCTATAAAATATTCATTTTTCACTGGATTTTCGATGTCTTCGCAAATCGAAACATATTTAACGGAAGAGTTGGTCAAAAGTGTCTTTCTTTGCACGTATTTTGTGGACAAACACGTCTTTAAACTTCCTATTTGTACAGTAGGATAATTTTGGTGTAAATATGCTTGCGATGTAGGGTTTGTGAGGGGGTCTCAGTTTACAGATGACGGTTCTTTGGCATTCGTGCTTGTCCTCCGCCATGTTACATTTCTGGCAAGTTCTAGTTGACGGTCAGAGGTGGCTTCATGAAGTTCGGGTTTCTGTCTACATAAAAAGTCTAGTCGTTGAGAGATACCTTATGCAACCTCTAGGCTTTGGGTTCATACCGCATACTGGTCTCTCTCACTTCTACCTACCTGTGCGGTGAACGGACAAACCGCCTGTTATCGACTGTTCCGGTGGAATGCAACCTGAGCGGGAGCATCGAAGCTCAGAAGGTGGAGGAAGAACAAGATGATCAGCTACTATCAGCCTACATGGGTCAGTTTATCTGACGTCTCAGACTGGTGCCTTGACAGTCTCATCATGTATCCGCAATAGTTTATCAGCAGAAGAAAATTGTATTATGACAGGCTTTAATTGCCTGCAGGTGTTGACTACGCCTAGCAACCAACTCTTGTTGTGACTCCCTTAAGCTATGTTCCGCCTAGCGGTCGCACGCCGGTAGCCCACACGACCGACGGGCTAAACAAGAGGAGGGTATGCAGTGCTGCGCGTTCCCACTCCGTGTAACCCCATCTCCGTTCTTATACCCCTTCCTTCCCCTCATCTCTCTTACTTTACCCTATTCCCTCCCGTCTTCTCACTTCAAAAGTCCTACGAAGATGGCAACATGCTATCCGTTAGCGACCCAGGCTAACTCGGACCGCTCTCCACCAAAAAAGACGTGGCCCGCGGCGGAGTTCGACGGCCGTCTGGGATGTCTAGGCAGCCCTACTTAGTGACAGAACTTCTTGGCCCTGGTGGGAAAGGAGCTAGGAAGGTTACATAAGCAAATGCTGGAGAATCACGCCATCTGCTAGCATACCGTGGCTCGCAGATGTAAATATCACGGCCGAAACAACAAAACAAGAAACAACTATCTTTCTCATTCCTCTCCACCCCACCCCGCCCCACCTCACAGGCTGATAGGGTGAATTCGGTTATTCTGGTTGCCTGGATTATTTGTCCCCTGTTAGAGAATCACGGACACAATCGATCGAAGGAAGACGGCGTTAATAGCTCGAGAACTAGCGCGCCACAAGATGGACATTGCTGCACACAGCGCGACCCGCTCTCTGAATAGGGTCAGCTGGAGGAAAGTGGGGCTAGCTACACCTCTTTCAGGAGCTGACCCCCACAAGCGGAGCGGCGAGAGTCGGGCGTCGCCTTTGCCATCCGGAACGACATCGTGGAACGACTGCCCTGTCTGCTGCAAGGCATCAACGATCGGTTGATGAAGCCTCGACTGCCTCTCCAGGGATCCAATTTCGCCACCATCGTTAGCGTCTACGTCCCGACAATGACCGGCCCTGCCGAGGCAATAACCAACTTATGTGAAGACCTGCGCACCCCCCTGGCGACTGCACAGAAGGCGGACAGGCTGGTTGGCCTTGGTGACTTCAATGCCCGTGCCAGGACACACAGACTTGCCTGGAGGAGAGCGCTGGGTCCTTACGGAATCGCCGGCTGCAACGATAGCGATTTCATTCTCCTGCGAACCTACGCAGAACACCACCTCATCCTAATCAACGCCTTCAGCCGCCTGTCGATATGGAAGACAACCACCCGGATACACCCTCCAATCGCGGCGCTGGACGTGATTGTGATCAAGACGATCTGCGAGGCCGATGGCTGGACGGACCACCGTCCCATCATCTCCAAATTGAGGTTCCGCCTCCAAACCCTGGATTGCTCGCAGGGTCGAAGAGATCCAGGGATATTCCGATCGCAATGAAATGAAGGACTTCTTCGTTGCTATCAGAATGATCTACGGCCCGCCGACGAAAGGAACCGCTCCGCTTCTCAGTTCCGATAGGTCGAAGATTCTGACAGAGAACTCACAGACTCTAAAGCGCTGGGTCGAGCACTTCGGAAGCCTCCTCAGCCTTCACTCCACAATTTCCCAAACCACCACAGACCGGCTACACCAAGTGGATCACCTTCCCTCCCTTCCAGAAACCATCCGCGGACTGCAACAACTCTCCAGCGCAAAGCCACAGGTTCGGATAAGATTTCAGCTGAAATCTACAAGCACGGCAGCCACCGGCAATGGATCATTCCACGTCACACTTATATATGTGTCGACAGAAACAGGTCGCTCAGGACTTCAAGGATAAGACCATCATCCATCTCTACCAGCGCAAAGGGAACCGGCAACTCTGTGGGAACCACAGCAACATCTTACTACTCAACATCGTTGAAAAAATCTTCGCTCGTCTTCTCCTCAGTCGTCTCGACGGCCACCTCGAGCAAAGACTCCTAATGAAAATCCAAGGTGGCTTCCGACGACACCTCGAGACAACCGACATGGTGTTTGCCGCTCGCCGGCTGCAGAGGAAGTGCCAGGAGATGCGAACCCACCTCAACACTCCCTTCGTGGACTTGACGAAAGCCCTCAGCACGATGAATCACAAGGAATTGTGGAAAATCATGCAGAAATTCGGGTGCCCTGTGTGCTTCACACACATGGTACTTCGGTTTCGTGACTGTTTGATAGCGCGCGTCACAGACGATGGCGCACTCTCCGAGGCATTCGCAGTAACTGATGGAATGAGGCGGGGCTGCGTATCCGCCCCCACCCTCTTTAGCCCCATGTTCTATGCTATGCTGATGAATGCATATCATAATGAGCCCCTGGGATACGGATGGCTTACAAACTGACGTACATCTCAACAGCAAGCGCACGCAGGCTCGAACGCGGCTATCTACGACTATGTTCAACGATCTTATCTTCGCCGGCAACTGTGCACTCCACACTACGACCGAAGAAAGCATGCAAAGGAATATGATCTCTTCAACTCCTCCTGCGCTAAATTCGGACTGAGCTTCAATACGGACAAAAAGGTAGTCATGCACCAACTGCTATCGAATGTTGAATACAACACACCCTGACTCACTGTCACCGGCAGCCCACTCCCAACCGAGCACAATTGTAAATCGATCCAGAGACCTGGGAGGACCATGACTAGAACAGACTGACCTGGATAAGAAAAGTGAAGCAAAGTGAAGCAAACCGGATCGCCGTCATCAAAGCCGATAAGGCTGCTCCCAATTCTCAAGCGCCTCCGGCTGGCATCGTCAGCAATCAACCCCGTGTCTGTGCCCACACTTAATAACGTTGCTACGGCTCCCCGTGTTGCACTGCCCCATTACTACCTCCATTACCACCTCCATTACCTCTGCCATAATTGTCGCAGCGGCGATTAACACAACCACCACTGCCACCTACCATAACGCTCCTGACGCCTCCACAACAACCAACACATTCACCATCACCACCCCCACTTCCAGCGATGTGGACTCGGTCCCAACCAGTCCTCGGTGCGATCGCACATTCACCTCATACACTGCCCTGACCCAGCCACTTGCGAATCTATCGCACAGAGACTGACGAACCAGTGCCCGGATAAACAATATACACTTGCCGCATCCGCCTTCACTGTCCGCGCACATTCATCCCCCGCGTGGGCCTACTCGGCCACCTGCGCATCCATGACATCGAAATACATCACAGTAACGATACACACAGAACACTTTGCACACCCAACACACCCAGCCCAATCATTTCCCCATCTCCCAGCGCACTCAACAATAATAAAAGCACCACCACCACCAATAGCACCACGACCGAAACCGCTTCTGAAGATCCTGACCTATCCTACCCACACATTCACCACACATCCACCTCAAGCATCCGCCTTGTCGGTCACCTGCGATTCCATTGCATGAAGACTGGCGAACCAGTGTCTGGAGCACTAACACACCAGACGCACTTGCCTCAATTGTCCGCATTGTCCTCGTACATTAAGCCGCTGCATAGGCCTTTCTGATAACATGCGTATTCACGAAAATTTGCGAAAA